AATAGTTTTTTTGCAAAGAGATAAATAGTTTTTTTGCAAAGAGATAAATAGTTTTTTTGCAAAGAGATAAATAGTTTTTTTGCAAAGAGATAAATAGATTTTTTGCAAAGAGATAAATAGTTTTTTTGCAAAGAGATAAATAGATTTTTTGCAAAGAGATAAATAGATTTTTCTGGCTTTCTCCCAAATCTTTGCCTGGGATTGCAAAATTGGGGGGGGGTTGTTTCCCATCGGGGCACCCCCTCCTCCCCCAAAAAAGCCCCCCACTCTCCTCCCCACTCACCAGGGGGCTTCTCAGTGTGGCTGGAGAAGGCGGAGACGGTGGGGGTGAAGGGGACGGAGAAATTCGGATCGGATGAGTCCTGGAAGAGAGAGAAGACGTCAAATTGGGTCGGAATACAGCCGGTCCTCGAGTTACGACGAGAGGGGAGGTTGCTAACTAGGCTGGGGGGGGGGGGATAAAATCTATTTTTCGTTCTCTGCTTGCTTTCGCAAAGGGGGTTGGGGGTGGGAGGAAGGAAGGAATTCAAATGAGTTTCAAAACGGAAGGAGCTCAGGGACGAGTCAACTGTTTTTCTCTGCAGGGGGAACCCCCAACATCTGCCTGTCACCCCAAAATAAATCACAGTTCCTCTTTTTTAGAAAATAGAAATAAAACGATAAAAGAGGGGAAAAAACAACTCTGGAGAGAAGAAAAGTTGTGAGCAGATTTGAAGTTTTCCTCTTTTTCCTTCTGGAGTCTCTCTTTCTTTCTTTCTTTCTTTCTTTCTTTCTTTCTTTCTTTCTTTCTTTCTTTCTTTCTTTCTTTCTTTCTTTCTTTCTTGCCTTCCTTTTCTTTACAATGTCCTTCCTTCTCTTCCTATTTTTTTCCTTGCTTCTTTCTTTCCTTTGTGCTTCCCTTCTTCCTTTTTTTAATCTTTCGACCTTCCTTCCTTCTCTTTCTATTTTTTTCCCTTCCTTCCTTCCTTCTTTGCAGATTTTACGTCTTCCTTTATCCTTCTGGAAACTTTCTTTCTTCCCTTCCTGCCTTTTCTTTCCAATTTCCTTCCTTTTCTATTTTTTTCCTTGCTTTCTTCTTTCCTTCCCTCTCTCCTTCCTTCTCTTTCTATTTGTTTCTTCCTTCCTTTCAGATTTTATGCAACTTCCTTCCTTTTTTCCTTCTAGATAGTCCTTCCTTCCATCATTCCTCCCTTCATTCTCTTTCTAGTTTTTCTTCCTTCCTTCTCTCCTTCCTTCCATAATTCTTCACTTCATTCTGTTTCTAGTTTTTCCTTCCTTTCTTCCCTCCTTCCTTCCATCATTCCTACTTTCATTCTCTTTCAAGTTTTTCCTACCCTCCCTCCTTCCTTCCATCATTCCTTCCTTCATTCTCTTTCTAGTTTTTTCCTTCCTTCCCTCCTTCCTTTCATCATTCCTTCTTTCATTCTCTTTCTAGTTTTTCCTTCCTTGGTTTCCATCCTTCCTCTCTTCATTCTCTTTCTAGTTTTTTATTTACTTCCTTCCTTCCATCATTCCTCCCTCTCTTCATTCTCTTTCTAGTTTTTCCTTCCCTCCCTCCTTTCTTCCTGCCATCATTCCTCCCTTTATTCTCTTTCTAGTTTTTCCTTCCTTCCTTCCCTCCCTCCCTCCTTCCTTCCATCCTTCCTCTCTTCATTCTCTTTCCAGTTTTTATTTACTTCCTTCCTTCTTTCCTTCCTTCCTTCCCTTCCTCTCTTTTTTCTGCACATTTTCTTTCCCTGTAAACAAAAAAAAAATGCCATAGGATAGACTTACCTCTGAAGTGTAATCGGTTGTTTCCGGCTTGAAATCTTCAGGCTCTGGAAAGGGAAGGAGCGAGAAAGGGAAGTGAACAGATGGGAAAACCTCAAGGAAAAATCATCCTGGAGTTGTTGCAAATCCCTCTTGCAACGGGCTCCATTCCTTCCCCTTAATCTGCTTCCCCCCCACCAAACTTTGAAGTGCAAAAATAAAATAAAATAAAAACGACTTCCTAAGAAAATCAAGGAGCTTTTTCCCCCCCTTCTAATTTTCTCTGATTTTGCTAATACCCATCCAGCATATTGCACAGGGGAGAAAAGACACAAAGAGGCTGCGATTATCATTATCATTTTGGGGTCTGCTTAATTTTCACATGCCCCTTTGAAGAGGTCCACGCCTCGCCAGGCCACCAACCTGACCACGGGATGCCCACGTTTTCCCGACTCCACTCGCTCCAGTTCCCGTGGTCAAATTCCTCCCTTCCCCGGACCTGGATGATATGGGGTGAATTCCGTACGGCGTCCACAATGGTGTAGGAGGTGACTCCGTGGTTGAGATGGACCTGCAGGAAGAGAAGGAGACTTCAAGCTCGAATGGAAGGGGGGAAGGGACGGGGAGGGGAGACGTAGGAAGAAGGGTGGCGGGAATTGGGGGGGGTGTCTATTTTGAGGAAAAGGAGGACCGGGGGGGGGGCGTGATAGCAATGTTTCAATATTTGGGGGGCTGCCCCAAAGAAGAGGAGGAACCTGTTCTCCAAAGCAGGAGAAGAAGTGATGGGTGGAAATTCATCAAGGAGAGAAGCAACTTAGAACTAAGGAGAAATTTCCTTCCTTCCCTCCTTCCCTTCTAATCTTCCTTCCTTCCCATCTACCTATTTATCTACCCATCTACCTTCCTTCTTCCTTCCTTTCTTCAGTTCCTTCCTTCCCTTTCTTCCCCCTCTAATCTTCCTTCCTTCCCTCCTTCCATTCCTTCCTTCCCTTCCTTTCCTCTCTAACCTTCCTTCCTTTCTTCCTTCCCTTCCTTCCACCTCCAATCTTCCTTCCTTCCTTCCATCCTTCCCTTCCCTCCTTCCCTTCCTTTCCCCTCTAATCTTCTTTCCTTTCTTCCTTCCCTTCCTTCCACCTCCAATCTTCCTTCCTTCCTTCCCTCCCTTCCTTCCCTCCCTTCCTTCCACCCTTCCTTCCTTCCTTCCTTCCTTCCTTCCTTCCTTCCTTCCTTCTCCATCACTGGAGGTTTTCAAGAAGAGACTGGACATGGTATTGTCTGAAATGGCCTAGGCTCTCCTGATTGAGCAGGGGGCTGGACTAGAAGACCTCCAAGGCCCCTTCCAACTCTCTTATTCTGAATCCGCTTTTTCCCACCCCTGAGCCCCAAAGAAGATGGATTTTTTTTCACCCACCCACCTTCCCATCCACTGGGTGGGGGGGGGTGGGGGAGGAAAGAAAGAAATCCCACCTCCGAGAAGATCTGGGAGTTTTTCATCCGGTAGCGCAGCTGGAACTGGAGGTGGTAATACTTGGAGCCCCAGGAATTGGGGTTCCTCCAGGTGACGTAGAGTTTGTGGGGTTCATTCTTCACGGGGTGTACCTGCACGTTGGCCGGGGGGTCTGGCTTCACTGCAAGGAGAGGGGAGTGGGAAAGCGGTTGGGAGGGGTCTCCTGGGAGGAGAGCAAGGGGGGGGGCAGGTGTCTGATCCTGCCCAGGTTGAGGGGCTGGATAGGAAGGGAGCTCTGCCACCACCCCATCCTGGGAGATTCTTAAAGAAAGAGGCCTGGATGGATGGATGGATGGATGGACAGATAGATAGAAGATAGAGGAAGATGAAACAGAGGGAGATGCATGGAGGGGTAGATTATAAACAGAGAGAGAGAGAGAGAGATGGAGCTGGAAGAGAAGATGGGAAAAGCACGAAGAGATAGATAGATGATAATATAGATTATAGGTGATAGAGGAGATAGAGAAAGAGAAAGAGAAAGAAAGAAAGAAAGAAAGAAAGAAAGAAAGATAGATAGATAGATAGATAGATAGATAGATAGATAGATAGATAGATAGA